CGCTGGATAGTGATTTATCCGCTGGATAGCGCTATCCAACGTTTGAACAACCGGGGCCAGATCAATAAAGAGTACCTGCCTCTGATATTTAAAAAGTTTTCAAACAGGAAACAGACTTTTGCGAGAGGTAGGACGATGGCCACTATTTTTTGCTCTGAGGCGGATTACAAGCGCAAGTTCTAGAGGAATGTTGGGCATGCTCCTTCCTAACCCGTTTTTCTTTTTTCTTTTTCTTTTTCATTTTTCAGGGCGAAGGGAGATTTCGACTACGCGCGCGCACGAGGGGAGAAAAGGAGAGGAGACTTCCCCTCCTGCGCGCTCTTTATAAACTAACCAAAAAAAACTAACCGGCGCCAGCCTGCCTCCCTAACCTATTAACCTGCGATTATGCGTTCTTTTTAATGATCGCAGGTTTGCCACCCAGGCTTGGTCCTTCCAGAAATCAAGTTTTCTCTCGAGCTCAGGTTGTTAGCTGTCAGAAAACATTATCACCCGTAATGTATTATGGGAACGAATTGAACAAGTCGAAAGAATTTGTACACCCACCATGACCTAGTCTGCTACACAGCCGTTTTTAGTGTCGTCACGCAACGCTCCTCCCCACTAACGTTAGTGGGGAGGAGCGTTGCGTGACGACACTAAAAACGGCTGTGTAGCAGACTAACCATGACCAAACAATTAAAATGATAAGTACGTACAAGATAGCTCATGCTCTCTTGGTACGTAATAGTTCGATAGACTTGGGCAGTGTGTTGGAACATGGCTTAATTTCCAACTGGGAATTGGGACACAATCATCTTATGCCGTTTTTATCTGTCGTTTACCATTTACCATAAATTCCTGGAAATTCCTGTTGGGATGTAAATGGTAAACGTTTTTTTGGTTTGTCCCACTGGAATATTGCCGGGGCCAAACGGAACTGAAAAGGTAGTCCCGTTTTCCAGGCTGGGACGTTCCGAATAGAAATTCGTTTACCATTTATAAGTTTCTTGAGTTTTCTACTAGTTTCATGTGGTAACTAAAATCCTAGCGCGGCGCCATAATCCGGAAATTTAAGGCAAATCAGTAAACGACACGTACCATTCTTACCGAACCAAAATTCCGAACCAAAATTTCCGGAATTTTTTTTATAAATGGTAAACAACCATTGAGCCCTGTTCCGGGATCAGCTATTATTCTACTCAAAACGGACGTATTACCTTAGAAAACCCTCTAGCTTCTTAACGCAGTTGAATCACGGGTTTTGTTTGTTTTGCTTTGTCCCTATCGGCCACCTTACATAATATCTCAATTCGTCTAAACTTCACGAACGGCCTCAGACTAGATCAGAGACTATTACACTCGAATAAAAAGAAAACTTTGTACGCGTCCTGCGCGTAAGCGTACCGCTGATCAGGATCGCGAGATCGCTCGAGAGGAAGGAGTGTGAGTGAGAGCACGCAAGCGCGAGTGAACTTGGACCGTCTTTTCGTAACAGTCATTGGACGTATTGCGAAGCTTGAAAGTTTCCCCGTGCTTTTACTCGTCAATATGAAACATAGAGAGAAATAAATAAGCAGCACGCGGGTGTTTATCACTCTCTTCCGATCATGCTTTATTTATGCAAAACATGAAGTGGATCGTGTCCAATATACAGCTGAATATACTAAATTAATGAGGTAACTAAAAAAAAATATTTTGTTAGATTAGTGAAATATGCCCTAGTGAAAATCATATCACTATTACAGATCAAAATAGGAAAACTATCCACAATACCTTGCAGAATGATAAAAGCTTTCTCAATACTGATTCCATTCGTGATCAAAAGCGTCGTTTCGAAATCAGTGGTAAGTGAGATGAGGGAGACCCATTGTCAGGGTTGGTAATTTTTATACAATTTTATTTTTCAGTGAGTTAACTTCCTTTATCCTTTTTTTGTTTAACAACCTAGTTTATAGAATGTATAGCATTCGTTGTCAGTTCAGCTGTTTGAAGCCAGGGTGCGACAAAATTCTGATATATCAATAAAGTGTAAACGCGCCGCGCGAGAAGCGAGATCTTACGCATGTTTAAACGCAAAACGCGTGTGTAAAATTTCGTGCGAGGAATCTCTTCGCTTTTGTATCGGATGCAGAGTGAATTGGGCAGAAATTTAACCCACACAAGTTTTGGGGCCATTTTTAACTACACGTCCAGACACGTCGGTCGAAACCTTGTTAACGACGATATAAATAGTATTTTGTTGGTTTACATAACGTTAATCTTCGTTAATCTGTGATAGTTCAGTTTGACTCACTAATCCGTAAAAGGAACAAACTACGTGCGACACAACACTGGTCTTGAAGAGCAGATTTTGTCATGCACTCGATCGAGCCGTGGAGAGGATCTTTCTCTGCTTTTTCCCTTATCTTGAGTTACAGTATATGTACATCGTGACTTTAAGGCTGTAAAATAAAACTGGGGGCTATGAACTTTCACTCTACTCCTGGAGCCTATTACCCTACAGGTTTTGTAATCTAAATAATATAGTACCCCGGGGGAACTTCAATATGAAAGAATATGGGATGTGACAAACATCCCCGTAACGTTTTTCATGAGAATTCCTCCCCTCCCCAGGGGGTATGGAACCAAGCAATTTTGGCATAAAATCCAAATCAGAGATATTTTAGTCTGTTAAAAGTATCAATGCATTAGCTGCAATCTCAAGGGTCCGAAGTAACTGAGATATGGTTTACATGTAATTGGAGTTCGGGGACAGTTGCTGTAGTCTCATACTGTGGTCTGATTTTAGTTGAAACGAGCACACTCCCCTCCCCCCAACCAAGAGAGTCATTTCGCTACCCCTCCAGTGGAAGGACAAACTGATTAAGTAAAATCATGTGATCTGTAATGGGGACTCGAGTAACTCGACTTCTCTCTCATGATCGACTCAACCAGTTATGGGCTCCTGACTCAACTCAGTAATAAGCAAGTCTCAAGGGCAAGACGTCATACCAAAGTTGTACAGCACAAGTTTACCGCCGTAATGTCACTTATTTTACGCATATTTATAAGGTCTTATTTTATAATCCGCCTTAAGCTAAACAATGGCTAAAACCAGGTTAGGTCAGCTTATTATCACGTTTTATTGCGAAAAAAACCGGAAATTCAATTCCACGATGACCTCGTCACGCTTGATAACCTTATAAGGCATGCTTCATTCAGTGTACTGCACCTTAAAAAAAAGGTTTTTCCCGACCTTTACCGGATGTTTTTACCTCAGAACTAGACATACAAATAGACCAAATAACCTCATAACTTTGAATCCAAGAAAGACCGGTCAGCCACGAATTCGAACGAGGGACACAACTTTCCTTATTCAACGAAGTTACCATGATCAGGTAAAAAACTTTTATATTTTAATTTTGTGAGAGTGTGTATGTTTTGTTTGTCATTGCGCAGCCCAGTAATATGATAAACTCTCTGCGTTCACCTTTCCCCAGTCAGTCTTGTTCCGTACGTATGAGCTGTGATAGAGCCCGTGGAGCTAAACCGTGGATAATTTAGTTCACCTTTCACGGAGCAAATAGACCTTTCCACGGTTTTTTCCAACTTTTGACATAGACAAGTTAAGGAAAATCCGTCGACAACGCTGAAAATAGCGCCTTAAGATTAATAAAATTGCCTAGTTTGAAAGGGATTTGTAGAAAACTAACGAAAGTGGGTCTGACATTCGCTTTAGAATTAGTACGTATTCTGGCTGAGTATTCGCGTCTCATTGTGCACGACGGGTAGAATGGCCTGGCCTACGATCCATTTGCACGATGACGTCATTTTACTACTACTACTACTACTACTACTACTACTACTACTACTACTACTACTACTACAATCATAAATAAAACAATGTGATTCATCCACTTTCTATCCTTATTCTTTAGATAATGATACAAACAATATGAAAGAGAAATATACATCATTCTGGCGACACAGTCTTGAAAATTCAAAGAAATTAGAATATTTTAATTTTACAAAGTTTTTAAGGAAGAATATTTTACATCAATTAAGACACTTTAATGAAAGACGAAATTTAGTGAAATTTAAAATAAGTAATCTCAAACTTATGATAGAAATGGGTCCATATCAGGTCGATCATGTGCTCAGAGAGAATAGATTATGTCCCCTATGTGAATCAAGGCAAAATTCCTGTTTGAATGTCAGAAATACTCTGCCCAGCGGCAGGCTTTCTTAAATCAAGTCAAAGAATTAGAACCTAACATTAAAGTGAAACCAATCTCAGAAAAAATATAATGTGGATAAGTCAGTTCTGAAATTCATTTGTTTATGTCTGAGTATACGCGAGACACTACTATTATTAAGTAAAAGTCAGTGATGTAACTTAATATTACTAGTACACAATTAAAGTACGATCAGCCTTGCTTTGTAATTAATTTTTAAAAAAACATTACCTTTTCTAATACTTTAATAATGTTACGGTCAGACAAATAACGTATTCTACTACTTCTACTACTACCACCACCACGGGATCCTTCAGGGTTTAGCTTTCTTGTACAAATTAGGGCTTCTGTTATTTAAACTTCACTGGGATTACCAAATTTAGATACGAAAGGAAAAACGAAATGGATCCCGTTTTAGAAGTAGACAGTATAAGTGCTAGGAATACTGAAACACCCCGACGATCCCAAAAAACTAGCAGTATACGCAGGTAGAATGAAAATCACAACCATAAATCGTAACCCTAATCGTCTGTAAATTATTTAAGTGTCCTTTCTGTTTGTTATATTCATTTGAATGTGTGAAGTGCAAGTTCCGGTTTGTACCGTTGTTCTCGGGGCTTTAGTACATATGAGAGCAGCCACACCGGAGATGAGTGTCTGTCCTTTTCAATTTAGGTCCATTCATCAGTAATCACCACCTTTTTTGTTTGTTTTTGTTTTAGCTGCTGGGTTTCAACGTTGCCTTTGTACATTTTGCTTATAACAACACACCAATTCACCCTTGCCGTTAACACCCCGGAAAACCTGATTCGTGTTGATACCTTTCTTGCGAGTGTCAACTTGAGTGATCCAAAAGTATTTTATGTCAGGAACAACTTGGATGTAAGTCATTAGCGACCTAGGCCAAACGGGATCGATGATTTCCCGGAAGTCATAGAAAGAGCTAGAAAGTAAATGAAAGCTCGCCGTTTGACTTGGTAAATTGAAACGGTTTTATAATAATTCCTTTTTTGGTACGTCGAGCGCTTTAATGGGGCGGGCGAGCTCGAGGAGTTAAAAAAAATGTTTTCTTTTGCAATTTGTGACCTCCGGGACATCTTTGGAGCTCTAGCAACAGGTAGCCCAAGCTCACTATGAGAGCCCTGAACAACATTATCCTACTTTAGCTAATTAACTATTCATACAGCAAGAAAATTAAAGGCTTTAAACAGTGCCTAGGAGGTCTGAAATGCAGTCAGAATACAAAGAAACGAAAGTGAGGCAGTCTGTTCAGATGGTCCGAGTTTTAATGATTAAAATCATTCGGATGGTCAATCAGCCGATCAGTCATTCACCACTGTAAGTCAGTCACTCGGACAGTTAGTTCGTCTGTCTATCAATCAGTTCTGTCAGTCAAAGTTCCCCTGAGAGTCAGCTAGACAGTGTTTCAAAGTTCATATCCGTGCAATTTCATGATGACCAAGGAAACAAATATTATTTTATTCTAGTGCACATTTTAAATGTCATCTTTGAACATTTCAGGGTGATGTAGTATTTCAAGAAAGTGAAAATGCCTCGTTGCTGGTGCATGTGTCTGCAAACGATGAGGAGGTTGAACGTGTCAAAGTTGAATATAACCTCGTTAATGAAGGGTCTATTGTAGATATACAAGTGGTAAGACATATATAACTCTTTGGTCAAGTTGTAACTAAACAAATTGTCTATGAAACGTCTGGCAAAACCTTGGATAAAAAAGGAACAGAGAGAGGGAAGGAGCGAAAAAAGCTCTTCTTGCCGATTTCGCCTTTGTCACACAAAAGTAAAGTTAAGTAAGACCCTTAGAATTCAGTTCTAAAAGTTCGCATTTGGAACGTGGCTTCCCTCTACTCCGGTCCACACTGTGACTGATCCCAAAAACATGTGCCATACGAGGAGAAAGTCACAAATACACCCATTTACCAGGGTAAACAAACTGTTCGAGCTCACAAACCTTATGAGCCAGTGGGACTGTGGGAGACGTAAAGAGAAAAACGAATCCAAGCCAACATCATCAACTCCCACACTTGCATTCCAGTTAAACCTTAAAAACACAGCACTGAGACTCAGTACTCAGTAGTGAATCAGTAATAAGATCACTTTTTTCGCAGTACAGTCCAGTTTGGATAATTAAGAAGGAGAGTATGATGGATGAAAGAGGTGTCACTCCTTACACTGATCTTTCCCACATATCCTGACATTTACGCAGGATATTAGTGCTGTATTTACGATATCACTTTAGGGACCACATCTGTTTTTGTTATTCTGGTGGTAAAATGATACTTAAAACTGTTTTTAGTTTTTAGGTACCAATTGTATGCCTCAAATACCTTAATTCAAGTCAAACACGTTCAATTCTCTGTAATTCTCACCAAAAGCAGGAAACTTCAATACGAAGAGGCTATAATAACTGTCAAGAGACTATAAAGGGGACAGAGAGGCCATCCCCCATATACACCCTATTCCATAGGTAATTCGTCTCGAGTTATTTTTAGAATCGGGATAAAGTTACCTCGCGCGAGGCGTGGATGTTTCGTGGAGGTTTCGCATGACCAAACGCCGTGCAAAACATGTCGGGCGAGAGGCAATGAAAGCGTAAAAAGATCGAGAGCATTCCTGAATATTGAAGCGAAATGAGTCGGCGCTCACCTGGGAAAAAGGAATCGCTGGACTCTTTGACAACCCGTGAAATCAGTTTAACTCGAAGTTGTCGTAACCTCAGTGCTTTAATAAAATGAGAAATTTCGCCGGTCTATTGAAACCGGTCGTTTGTACAATTTAGGGAGTTTAAGATCCAACGACGCGGACGACAACTAGAACGTCAAAAAAACAATAGGTTTAATTAGCAAAACAACAACTTCGCACGTGCAACACACTTTTTTGTTCATTTCTTTCCCGTTTTTGCACGACTACGACGTGAAAATGCCTAATTTCGCGTTTTATGGAGGACGTAAATAAGCAACGACGAAATTTTATTTCTCTTTCTGAGCTTGAATATGGTCCCTTGAAATTCAGCTTTAGGAGGGTTCGCCTACAATTGACAAAGTAAGTGGGTAGGAATAATCGCTATAAAGACTGAAAAAAATAAACATCAAACCAGAAATTGCTCTCTTCAAACTGTAAATTATAAATGATCCTGAGAGAATATTCAGTGTGTTAAGGATTTCCCTGCTCTACTGTTAGCTCTATACAAGAGAGGAAGGGCGATTCTTTTTTAATTTCGGTTTCGCTGACACAGCTTTCGCAGAAATCTCGCTGTAGTCGTTTTCGTCGACAAAAGGAATAGCAAAATCGCTCTCCGCGTCTTCCCCCATTTTGTTCTGCGTCATTTCGTGAAGGACGCGTGGCTCTCAGCGTGGGTCATCCACGCGGAACACATTCGCGCTATGTGATTGGCTGTTGTTTAATCCCCCTCGAGATCTGTGGTGTTAAAAATAACTCGAGACGAATTACCTATGGAATAGGGTGTATATGGGGGATGGCCTCTCTGTCCCTTTTATAGTCTCTTGTAACTGTGTATTTTCTCTATTACTTATTTAGTTCATTGTACCTGAAACAACATTAAACTGGCCGCTAATTGGAGGACTCGCAGGTGCTGGACTCTTTGTTCTAGTCATGATCGTTATCGTTGTCATGGTAATTAGAAAGCGGAAGGGACAGCCTCAGTTCGAAGAGAAACTGGAACTTAGAAACCGTGGACAAGTTGTGGCTGGTTAGTCCGATCAACCTTGTTTCCAGGGCCTCTCATCTTCCCTTCCTGCAAAGCGAGTCAGGGGTTATCCACACTTGGTGCCCAGGGACCAGTGTCTGGCTACCGGCACAAAATCGTGTTGTTTTACGCTTTGAGTACCCTTTCTTTTACTGTGTACATAGTTACTCCATTTCGCACTGTCAGACGCCATTTTTAACGACGTACTAAGCAGTGGATTGCCTCAGTCCTTCCAAAAATGGTGTATACAGGGACCCGGTGCCCACTCTTGTGCCCGAGTGCAAGCTCTCGACCCTGTAATCGGGCACTGGCACAGTACCCGTGTACTAAAATGGGTGCTTGAAAAAAGGGTGTGTTCACATTAGTTTCCAGCGACCTCCGTGCTCGGACACCAAGTGTGAACGCTGCATAAGGTACGGAAAAACAGGCAACAAAAAACGAGCAACTTGTTTTAAAACATTGCTGTAAAACCAGTCGAAAAGCGATGTTGCGCGTTTTACCACTCATGTTCAAACCTGTTAGCAACCTAATTTGTCGCAAAACAGGTTTGATGTGGGTGGTAAAACGCACAACATCGCTATTTAACTCGTTTTGCAGCAATGTTGCAAGACAAGTTGCACGTTTTTTGTTGCCCGTTTTTCCGTACCTTTACTGACTCCAGAGAAGGGTAAGAAGAGAGACTTTAGGAGTGAGATTGGGTTCTCCTTTTTTCCTTTATCAACTACCAAGTTTTTCTTTATTAGATTAAAGTACTCACGCAACAGCTTCAATCTCAACAGTTTTTCTCTATTAGATTAAAATACTCACGCAACAGCTTCAATCTCAACAGGACCTCACTCTTTTAAACTTATATCTTGTTGTTTATTTTCTTTAACAAGGAAAAGCTACTTTCTTCGAAAAGCCAGATAAAGATGAGGTTTTAAGCCCTGATGGAAAACCCGCTACACTATGTCGGCGTCCAAAACAGCTCACCCCTCTAATTGAGAGTAAGTTATCAACGGACGTTAACTTAATCTTCATCGTTAACGTTAAGCCATACAAAATATCTACTTGCGAATCGAAGTTTTCTGTCGCCTCTCTCTTACCTGAGTTTATCATAGGTGTTCTTGGGAGAAACTTTCATTTTTCCTACACTTTATAGTGTATTAGTTTCATCAGTCAAATCTGAGGTACAACCTACTATGACATGTTCTTTTCATCTTCTTTCATCGAAGGAAAAATGGCAAACTTTGAAAGTCCAAATCCAAAGGATGAAACTGACAGTAAATGAATAGCTCTTTACCTGAGGTTTAAGAAGATCATCAACAGTTAAAGAAACACCAAACATCGACTTGCAGTTTGCTACTGCCTCTTCATTTGTTAATACAGGAAATCCTAGCTTGACTGTTGAAGCCATGATGCACTTACTGCAGAACAAAAAATGGCGGACTGTTTCGGTTCAAATCCGTCCGCTTTTTCGTAGGTAAGATTTTTGATTGGCTATTCAGCCCTACGTCATCACCTGCCTGGCTACCCAAGTACCGGCCCAGACTGTCGCGGTCAGCCGCCGAGGAGGCCTCGGTACCTCCCCCTTTTTCTGTGAAAATATTGTTCTAACAATTGTTTTAACATCAGACAGGGCTCCTGCATCAGATCAATAAAGAGTACCTGCCTCTGATATTTAAAAAGTTTTCAAACAGGAAACAGACTTTTGCGAGAGGTCGGACGATGGCCACTTTTCTTTGCTCTGAGGCGGATTACGAGCGCAAGTTCTAGAGGAATGTTGGGCATGCTCCTTCCTAACCTGTTTTTTCTTTTTTCTTTTTCTTTTTCTTTTTCTTTCTTCAGGGCGAAGGGAGATTTCGATTACGCGCGTGCACGAGGGGAGAAAAGGAGAGGAGGCTTCCCCTCCTGCGCGCTCTTTATAAACTAACCAAAAAAAACTAACCGGCGCCAGCCTGCCTCCCTAACCTATTAACCTGCGATTATGCGTTGTTTTTGATGATCGCAGGTTTGCCACCCAGGCTTGGTCCTTCCAGAAATCAAGTTTTCTCTCGAGCTCAGGTTGTTAGCTGTCAGAAAACATTATCGCCCGTAATGTGGTTAAGATGGACGGCCGTGTGTGGTTAAGATGGACGGCCGTGTGTTTATCGCCACGTGATGTGGTTAAGATGGACGGCCGTGTGTTTAAGTGCTCCGCGTAACATTTTGTAAATTTCTGATGTTTAAGTGTTCCTTCTGCTTTTTTCTATTTGTTTTGTTATCTTGTTTCGTGTGTCACATTATGCCTGAGTTATGTACATGCCTTGTTTTATGTTAGTTTAAATTCTATTTACTGTATTGTAGTGTCTTCACTGTTATTTAGTCCATCTATATATAAATCTTGTTTTGTAAATTGTGTTCAGCTCCCCCCGCCTCGATTAGTTCATAAGCTATTTGCGGGTGGGAAAGTAATGTAATTAGTTATTTTCCGATTTTCAATAAAATTTGTTGTTGT